CACAGCACGGCACAGCACGGCACAGCACACAACGCAACACAACACAACGTCGTCCCTTCCTCCCTCCAAACAGCCGAAACTCCTGGGCGTACCACAATCACTAACAGTTCTTGGACGTCGCGGTGCATACAGAAGTAGCGTTAAATAAAACCGTGGGATTTTAATGATTGCATATGCTCGCTTTCTTAGTTTCTTTTAAAGTGAAATTAATTGTACTACGGGATTGTAACCCGTTACTCGTAGTGCAAAAGAAAGGGAAAGGGGGATCAATAATGCGGCGTCTAAAACACACGTGCACATATGGTTCAGTTTGTGTTTTATTACAATTAAAATGCATTCACTGGGAGCCAGGATCAGGTACAGCAAATGCCAATATTCCAACAGTGGAAGCCACAAAGAGCGGATGGGCTTCGCTTTCGCAGCCGCTTTCGCAGAATGAAAGACGTTAATACTCGTACATAAAAAAATGAGTCGAAGCGCTTCTTTTTGGACTGGTCTTTCACGTTAACTTGCTCATATGGACACTGCAGAAGAAATAAAACAAGTCGTTATTGCATTACTCAGTAATCAGTATGGAAAAGCCCAACCCTGCTTATGGTTAACAAGAATTGTTAATGATATATAAATCATTTGATCTATTGTGCCCTCCAGACTAAAAGGAAAATAATGGCAACCCCAAGCAAATGGTCCTAATTAGTGTCCAAGAAACCACTTCCTAAATGTATCCTTCCAACTCATTCCGGTTTGGCTGTCCAGAACAATCTTTTGTTCTTAAACTTCTTTATTTTGTGTGTAACTGCAAAAATGCTCTTCATACCGGAGCTCCGAAAATAGCTCATCTAAGGGTACAGCACAGCACCAGGAGCAGAAGGGAGGGCGAGATGATCCCAGTCTCTCAGTGTCGCCTGTAAATAGGTCCTGATCATTTCAAACTTTATTTCCCCAAAGCCTTGCCTCCTGACAAGTCTCCTTAGAGAAGTACCAAAGGGGGATTCATCAAAAAAGCAAGTCTTTGCCACCACTCAGATAGCAACACAAACTTTAAAAAGGAAAAGCTAAAAACAGACCCAGAACCAAGCCGTGCATATTCGAGCTGTCTATCACATGTTTTCACCCACTCTGTCCACCGCTTGAAAGTGTAATCTTTAAGTTAAATACACCGTGGATATACTCATATATACCACACGATGTGGTACCCAGATGAAGATTCAGGCACCAACAGGAGGAGTAACAAGAGCATGGCTAGTGGGCTATTGTGGCCTTGATCTTGTCTCCACTGAAAGCAACAAAACTTTCGCTGTTTGCTCCCACGGGAGGCCTGTTTCTTGGATGTACAAAATACAAACTGTTATTTCTCATTAGCTGGAGTACCAGATCCTGATGCTTCCAGAAAATCACCCACCCTTCCATCGAATCCCACATCTTTTGTCACTTCTCTATCCCACTATGAAACATAATTCCTAAAGTTTTAAACACATTGCTGAAAAACTGAACTACCTTGGAGACAAACCCATCTTGGTCCTATCATCTGGGGTTTTTTTCTTTTAAAAAAGGAAAACTTGCGGGAAACAGACTTGCTGGCATGCTGGTTCTCTTCCTAGACGTGATGGACTTGCCAAAGGGAACAGAACTTCTATAAAACGACAGTCAATTAAATAACTCCTGTGCAGTGCTCTTCATGCTATTTCCAAGAGATAATGCTAATGGGAAATGCTGTAATATTTTATTTTAACTTTTAAAAATCCCCTCAACGACCTTCCCTGGACTTAAAACGTCCTTGGCTCGTCTAAAGTCACGGTAAAACACATAAGATGAGTTGCCAACTCTTCCTACCCCAGCATAAATGATTTTACAAAGTCACGGAGACAACATACAAGCTGATGCCGAAAGGCAAGGCTTCATACTCACATGTCTGCATGCAGAGCCACAGCATTTACCTCTCTGCAAGCGGGCAACTTCGGAGAGCACTAAATAACCAGGAACGGGATCCACAGAGGTCTGCTGGCCAGCCCTAAAGCAAAAGCAAACCACCTCAGCTCTGAGGAGTCTTCAGCTCTTTGAGGTTTCATATTGCAAGCGAGCTTGATATTATCCTCTTATAACTGCTTAAATGAAACAGGCTTGCTTGGTGATTCATGATTAAATGCCTTTATAAAGAAATTATAGTCTGTTATTCACGGAGACTTAGCAAGTAGATAGACGGGGACAAGCTGCAGAGGTGAACGCGGCGTATCCACAGCTGTGGTTTCAACACGGCCGCAGCTTCACCGTTCTCCACCGCTCCCTGAGAGGCACCGCACGCAGTGCCTAAGCCAGCCCGAGCTTTCGCGGCGGGGGCGGCGGGGCTGGCAGCCGGCGGGGAGGAGGA